GAGTACTTGGTTTGATTTTTAGCTAAAGGGGGTGTTTTGTTTGTTGTTTTGGCCTTGGAGACCCTGAAGAAAAGAGCTTCCCTGTGTTTATTTTTACTGTAGTAGTTTTGGGCAATAAATCTTGTTTAATGACATCTACAGTATTCTCCGGTAGTTCATGTTTTCTCTTTCACTTTGTGTTACCCCTCACCCCAGTCAACACTTCGTTTTTAAGTGGGGCGTAACACAGGTAAAATATATTTTACAGATTATTAGCCAATCCAAAATTGAAAGTACTCTTTTCTACTTTAAATATTACTGAGAATGAAGTGTATTTAAAACCTTCAAAAGACTACAAAAGCACAATAAAATATCTAAAGTAGGGCTAAAGCAGTAATCAACCCAGCCTCATATAAATTTTAACAGTTTTTAGAGAAAGTCCACACAGACTAAGACGTGTAGTGCATTAAAAAAAAGAAGTGCATAAATGATTTTTTTTAATTCTGGTTTGAATTTTTCCTGGAGGGTAGAGCATGATTGTATACCTAACTGTGGCCACATATGATGTCTCTTTAGCCAATTTTAGGCATCCCTTGTTGACAAGATCCTCGCATCGTACACCAAAGCTAAAACAGGCAGTCTCCTTTCCAGGGACAAGGTCCAGCATATTTTCCGCACTGGTAGGTGCCTTGCTGGCTGTCTGCTCCGCTCCATCTAGGAACCGCATGACACTAGGGTGAGGAAAAGGGCAGCTAGGATTGCCAGTGACCCTAAACATCTAGTTAACCATCTGTTCCAAAGCTTTGCATTCTGAGATGGTCCACAGTACCCTGACTCACCTGTCCGTACCTCCAGCCTCTATGCACAAGCTATCAGTCAACATAACATGTTTTAGCAAGACTCAACTCTGTGAATGGAAGAATTGTCTCTCTTATGTCTATTAATATTTAAGCATTTTAAATTTGCATGATAATCACAATATTTACTGTCTGTATAACCCGGTGTGAATGCATGCTATGGCACATTTTAGCCTCATAGTCTCCGATGGGGATAATTCACTGCGTATATCTCTCTCTCTTCAGTGTAACTTATTCTGGACTTACCTTGAAATAATGCATTCTCATTCCACTCGCTCTCAAAGCTACAACTGCACTGTTTGTAAGAGTTCCCAAATGTACATTTGTAACAGTTTCTCATTGTATATGTTGTCCCGTGTTTTCTTTTTGAATGTGTCTCCTCTCTGTTTCACGTGCATTCTGTTGCCACATCCTGTTCACATTGTTTCTGTATGTAAGTGACAGAAATGAAGAAAAATAAGCAGCTGACACATTCTTAGCTTTAAATTTCTAAATATTTTCGAAGTAAAGGTGTTGGTAAGTAGTAACTTAAACAGGTGAGGCATAAGGATCCAGAGACTCCTCCCCTCTCACCTCTGTAATTTCTGCCTAAGATCATAGGCCAATTAGCCAGGCAGCATGTGGAGGTTTAACTGCAGTCACAGTTTCTCATTTAGCCATGAAACTTTCAGTCCCTGACCCGAGGAAAATGGTCATTGGTGACTGAAGCATGAACTTAATGATATAGTTTCTGTTTTAACTGATATTGTTTCTCATAATTGAACTCGTGCTGCACTCTCTGGAAAAGCATTACAGATAAGAAAAACACTACCCCCCGTATTTTAAAATAGAAGTGTAACAACAGGGTTTCCCCTCCTCAAATTAAAGCCTATAGACCCTGTTTAAAAAAGAAACATATCTAATTCCTGATAATTCTACTAAGCATCCTTCCTTCACCATTAAATGTTTTTTCCCATTTCGCCCCCTCAGATAATTTCCCTCAGTGGCCAAAAGGGGGCAACAATGTGGCACTGTTCACCCTCCTGACGCAACAAAACCCCAGCAGCAACACTTGGCTATCCTCGCTGTCTCCTTCGCACGCTGTTACGAGCCTCCCTTATATATTTTTTCTTCTAAAACTTTCTCTTTTTACCCCTTTGTGTTTTTCCCTCTAAAAATAAAGATCTGTAGCGTTAAAATGCAGGTAAGATGATATGAACACACCAACTCACAAACACTAAGAGGGAAAAATAAAACAAAAACTAACTAACTACATAAAAAGTCCAGTTTAATGTAAGAAAATCGTATCTGTGCACCTTCACCTCGTTTCTTTCTGTTCGCCACTCTGGCTGTGGTTGTGTGTTTCTGTGTCTGTGTAGTGCTGAAGGAACAGCGCCGTTCGCGTGGGGAGCGAGAGCAGCCCGGTGCAGTCTGTCCCAGTCATTTCTATCAATGTCTCATCTCAACAACACAAACCCTCCGTGTTACCCACGACAGTAAACCAGCTGACATGGGCACGGGTTTAAACATCAGCACACACAAAAACACAGAAACAAGAAAAAGGATATTCCTTTAATTTCTTTTTTCTTTTTTTTCTTTTTTTCTTTGCCCAAAGCTCGCTCGCTCTCTCTCTCTCTCTCTCTCTCTCTCTCTCTCTGGCTTCTCTGCGCTCTCTTGTGGACTCTCTTAAGGCACTTTGGATAAAAGCCTCCGCGAGAAATGGCAGATTTCATGTCTCTTATCTGTCTTTCTGTGGGCAGGTAGTAAAGTATCTGAGGGAAACGGATGAGCAGGGTAAGTATTTCTGGAAGAGAGGGGGAAAAGAGGCGCTGTTTCAGCCACCGAATCAAAAGTGGTGTTCCTCCTTTGTGGTTTAATCAGAGGAGCAGACACTTTCCTCCTTCCAGTCTCCTCTTCTTCTGGTCCCTTCATCGTTCTGTAGCCTAAAAAAGGGAGGAGATACTGCTCCCCCTGTTCCTCCTCCCCATCTCCTCATTCCTCTTCATCGGGTTGGTGGACGACCCAGAAGAAGCGGCTGAAGGCTTCGCGCTCTCCCCTCCTCTCCCTTTTCTCCCAGCGCTACGAGAAGGATTTCCAAAAGTCATTTCAAGTAGACTTTTTTTGTGATTTTGGCAGCAAAGCACATTCCGGGATTGTGTCCAGGAAAGAAAAAAGGTTGGTTTAACACTCTGACCTGTAAGGGACACATTCCTGGAGAGGAAGAAAAGTAAGAAAAGGGGGAGAGCAAAGAGGAGACAGCAGAGAGAAATGGAGAACACGCGCAAGCTATTATTTCCAAAAAGGTCTTTTAGGGAAAATTAGGGGAAAGCGGAAGCCTGTTCCTGAATTACTGCGCTGTAAGTAATCGACCGCTGATTGAGTATGGACTCATTGTTTTTATGAGCTGATAGATTGGCTGACTGACTTCTGGAGATTTTTAACGGACAAACTTTGAGCTGTTGGAGTGGATGTGAGGAGAAAGGTGAACGGTGCACTGCAGCTTGATTCTCATGCCTCTCCAGCAGCCCCTCTGATTCTACTTATTGATGAATCGATATACTGACGATATCAACCCACAAAGCTGGAACCTGCAGATTATTACTTGGTCATTAAGGACACATTTCCTGTCATTCCCTTCAGCTGTCTTGCAAGCAGTGAAACTTGGAATGAACCTTATATAAAGGAATTATACATGACTTTTAGAGAGATCATAAATCATAAAATATTAAGTACCTCAACATTTCTGTGGGCACACATTGACTGCTGCAGGCGCGTTAAATCCCCTGTAGAAATATTATAGGGACAGAGAAAAACCTCCACAAAGTGCAACAAGGACGAACATAAAGGCGTCATTTCTACTACAGCGCCACAGTATGAATATTGTAAGAATTTAATAGAGATTATTTGAGTGCCAGCGCTTCTCGGGATTCCAGTTTGGAGATTGGAAGTTATTTTTGGCTGCGCAAAGTAGAGCGACTCTTCCACACCATTGCCCGGACAGAGTCAGAGAAAAGACTGAACACAGAGGTCTGTACCTGCTTTTTCTTTGTCTTCCATCCCGTCCTGGAAGAAAGGAGCGGGATACACGGAGGGCGGAGGAAAGGAAAGGAAAGCTAGAGAGAAAGAGAGAGGGAGAGCGGGGGAGATGCCTAACTGCGGTTAATTGGGGGAGACTTTATCCTACCAACATCTCGGAGAAAGAAGGAGAGAAGAGGAAAAGGGATTTTATTCCTTTTTATAGCCAGAGAGGCTGTCTGAGGGTCTACATCTCATTTTTTGGGGGCAGAGGAGAGAAGAAAACAACCTTCTTCGGCTGTTTATTTACGCTTATATCGTCCCGTCACTTTGGAGAGGAGAAAAGAAAAGAGAGCCAGTGCTGGGATTATTTTTTTTAACCTTTGTGTCTGGTCAAGATTCCGTTATCTGCTTGGATTCAGGATTAGTTCCTCTGAAACACCAGGTAAGAGGATGTCACGCTCCGATTTAACGCCTATGTGCGCGTAATGAGTGCGGGTGATGAGTTTACTTCTCGTGCTGAGTGTGTGCGTGTGTGTGCGCGCTGGCCAAGTGTACGAGATAGCGAGGGCGCGAGTCACAGAGAGAGAAAGAACGAGAGAGCAGGGAGTGCGCCTGATCCTCGCGTGTGTGTGTGTTTGTCAGAGGTGAGAGACTCAGGTGAAGAAGAGCATTTTTACGCGCGAGGAAAGGGGGAGAGAACACGGGTGTCGTTTATTTAGGACGTGCGTCCATTCGTTAGTTACAATCGTTTTGATTGGATACAAATTCAGGCTTTGACTCTTTGATTGGACAGTTTTGGTTTTTAAACTCACTGCAAGGCCAACAGGCTGCCTGCTATTCATGCATCAGCGTACACGTGGGCGGATAAAATAACACGAGTGTGCTAAAAGCTGGACATCGCGGGTGAATCGCATTTCCTCCAGGGAAGCTCAGGGACTCTCAGCCAGAGTTGTAGTACGATATAAAGAGTCGGCATCCAAGCAGGAAATATTGTTCATTCTGAACTCACATCCGTGTCTCTAAGGTTGCAGAGGACTCAGCGGTCTCTTTGCGGGCGTTATTCTGCGTCGCTTGTCTCCTTCTTTGCTATTCCTTCCCACCTCAGTCTTGTTGCACACGCGCTTGTCATTTGTGTCCTTTTCTTTGTATGTTTGCGTGACCTGGCAGTTTGTCTCGCTCTGGTCCCTTTGGGGTCATTTTTTATGTCTTATGATCTTTACGTTTTGCATCTTATTGTGTCTCTCTGGTTATTTCACTTCTTTAGCAGCTCCAGTACTTATTTCTGAAGTCTTAGTTTATTTACCTTCTGCTCATGTATACTCATCATATGCTCTTAACAAATACAGGCATTAAAACAAACAAACAAACAAAAAAATACTGGATATGCTCCAAAATGTCTCCTCGGCTGCGTGGGACGATGCATCTTTGGGTGAAAGAGTGTCGTTTAGGTTCCACTGTATAATTTTCCCATTTGTTCAAGTCTTCCCAAACACAGATGACCGTTTGTCTGAGTGCTTTACAAACAAGCAGGTGCTCTCTCACTCCCCATTCCCTCTCTCTCTCTCTCTGTGAGGATGAACAGAGAGAGACTGTGTGCGTGTGCGTGTGTAAGTGTATGTAAAAAAGATGTGTAGTGCCAGAAGGCAGTGGCAGAAAGTGTGAGTTTATAGTTTTAACACTTTGTGTGAGAGGAAAAAGGAAGAACAGACGTGTATTCAAATTGTGCATGTGAGCAGGATACACACACACACACACACACACACACACACACACACACGTGCGTGCGTGCACACACGGGGTGGGATGTTGGGAGCTTAATTATATTGGGCGTTTAGCAATAAGGTGCGCATCAATCGTCAGAATGGACGGAGGCCGTGCACCCACCAGAAACTGCAGGTGTGTGCGCGCTGATTTATTGTGTGAAGCTGATGTCATATAGATCTGATCAGCAGGTAGATGAACCGGCGGCAGGACGACTCTGTCACACTGACCAGCATCAGCCATCTATTACAAAGATGGAGAAGGGGGTGGGAGTAATTTACAGCAGAGGCGCAGAGATGGGAGATTGAAGGTACTGGAGAAACATCGGGGCAACAGAAGAGCAGTGGTGAGAATGTTCAGATCCATTACAGCGATGTGTCAGAACAGTCCTGCAAGCGAAGCTGTCAAAGTAAAAGAACTCATTACGCAGTAAATGGCCCTCGTGATTATTAATGTTAGTAATGTTATTGAGACTTTTCTCTTGTGATATTTTAGATTATTTGAGCCGTGTAACCCTCAAACTGTTCCAGCTGCAACAACAACTAACCTGTCCCTGCACACCTTCACTCTGTTTGTGTGTTGGTGTGGAGCCTCTGACACATTAAGTGGTATTCCAAACCATCTTGCATAAAGTGGATGTAACTTGGCCTTAATAGATCCATCCAATGGTAGCAGAATAAATGCTGATTGGAGTATTATGTTTCCATCAGAGAAAGGTGAAAACATAATAAAAAGTCCCATATTTTCCATCTCACTCAACGCCTGACTGTGCTCAGTCTAGTTGGCCTGTCGTAGAAAATACCCTTAAAAAGTTGGAAGTGTGTAGACATGCCCAAAGCTGGAAGGTATTTATAAAGATTTTCATCACATGTAAATTTTCCGTCTGAATAAAACATTCCCACATTTGGCAACAGCTTCACAGCTGTAAAGCCGAACGACCGTGGGCTATATGGATTAGAAAGACTTGGGAGAATTTTCAAAAGCATCATGTATCCTTATCCTCATCAGCAGGTCACAGCCCGATTAGAGAAACTTTCTGCTTTGTTTTCATCTCACCATAACTGCAAACTCGAGATACTGGAGAAAATATAAGTCAGAAATGGATTTATTTGAACCTGTTGAGTCCAATTAAACTGCAACTTTACCAAGTTTGACACCAAACAATGCTGGATACATTTGAAATATGTAAATGTTGAACCACACACTTCTATGTACATGCGTAAAAATGATCAAGATACCTGAAAAGTGCACTTTTCTGCGACTCTTCAGTCAGTGCGTTTAGCTGCCCTCAGATTCTGGAGACAGCAATGAGAGAAAACTTAGACACAGAAAAGAGAAAAAAAGGATGAAACTAAAGATCAGTAGCAAGAAGTACAACGCGCTCACAGCAGGCAGAACCACGGAAAGTTGGAAGAGGAGCAGAAAAGAGGGGCGATGAGGAAGAAGGGGAGAGGAGGAGTATAGCGCAGAGGGAATTGCTGCTGTTTCTTCCATTATAATTGTTTCGAGGCAAAGCTAATTCAGTTCAGCACCTGTTATATATTGAATCCTTGTTAAAACGATGCAATATACTGTACAAACTGAAAAAAGACTTTTAACGTCAACATTGAGCTATAATAGCTCTGCACTTACAAAAAAAGAGAAATTTTGCCATAAGGGACAAAATGATTTGCAAAAGAGCTGAGGAGGAAGGAGACTCGTACAAGGAGGGAAGAGGAGATAAAGTGAAATAAGAAGAGAGAACAGATTTAAAGACATGAAGCAAGAAGAGAAGAGAGAGAGAGAGTCATAAATTGTGGAGGGGATGATGAGGTACGAAGAGATGCTGGAAATATATGGGAGGAGGAAGATTGGCTGGAACGACAGCGGGATGAATGAGAGCGAGTGTGAGACAGATATACAGGGGATGATGTTGAGGACACTATTCTATGCTATACATTTATGCATTATCTTCTCAGATTTAAGTTGGAAAAGATGTGGATTTCAAACTTCACAACTTCTTTCCAGGTACTTTCCTGAACAGCAGTGAGGAAGGATTTCCTTTAAGACAAAGACAGACTCGCCTGTGTTACTTACCATCGCTTTAGGCCTGTTGTCCCACTGTGAAGCATTAGATTCTCTAACACAAACAAAAGTCACCTCAAGCTATTGCTGTGGGAGCACTACAGTGCAAAAATGAAAACTCACAACATGCGTTGAAGGTTAAGACATTTTTTATACTAGAATATCCACTTTATTTTAATATTTGTACACACCTGATGATTCCATGCCTGTTTTTATGTCTGTGTTTAAGCATTAACCCGGGGACGTGGAAACATTTATTGTCTGATTTAAAACTGGAAAACGTGATCTTTCCCCAACCTTAAGCAAAGGTCTTGTGCTGCCTGAACCTACATGTGAACCCAGCCTTGGGTGTGAGCTGAGCAGTTTGAAGCCGCTCACAAGTGTTACCTCTGCAATTACACAACATTTAAAGATAACTTGGAAAGCCACTATATAGAAATGCCTTTTATTTGTACAGGCAAGCTTGGTATACAGCATATTGTATATGCTGGATTTATTACATCTTAATCAGGCAGTTTCAAATAAGTAAAATTCTCCTTTATGAGGGAGACTCGAGAACAAGAAACAAAACATTTTAGGACAGTTTGGAGTCCTTACCATTTGTATGTGTAGACTACATCAAGCCACTTCTAGCAAGCTTTGTATGTACAAATGAAATATGTAAAGTTAGGGTTTTACTGGATCTTGAATTTCATTTTCAAGATTTAAATGGGAGATGCAATGCTTTAGAAGCTTAAGCAGAGACGTTTTATATATGAATACTGTTAGAGTTCTTCTTGACTGTAAAGCCTGTTCATATAGAGAACTGTGGGGGTTTTGTGCACAATGCAGGGCAACCTTCATAACTCAGTCATTCTCTACACAAAGCCTAGCTTAAGTTTACAATATAAATGTTAAATGAAAGTCTGCTGCATATATACTTCTAAGACATTGTGTGTGCTGGTCAGCTTTAATTGCAGGAAAGGCACAGGCACATATGCAGGATACCATGAACCCACTCTTTTCTGTATTCAGAACTAGTGTGGGATTAGGGAGCGCTAGCTGAATGGTGTTTAAATGAGAATGAGTGTGAGCCAGGGCCTTGGCTGGGGTGGGTGAGCTGGACCTACTGCTGCGGACGACGTTTCCAGTGTGAAGAATGAAATTTAGATTTCAGCAATTAAAAGTTGATGTTTATTCATGTGTAACATGTACGCAATGACAAACTCTTCTAATCCAGAAAGGTCCCAGTACAAGAACCAGGCTATATCAGTTACTAATATGCAACTAACTGAAAAGGCTGTGACTTGAACAGGTATAGCATTGTAGCATATAGCATAGTATAGAAGCTTCTTGGAGGTAGGAAGGTTTAGAAACTTCTGAAAAACACTTGTTATCAGGTTGATTAATCAGGTTGCAAACTCGTCGTTTAGATCTCACCTTTCATGGGAACGCAGCTACACCTACGAATGTTCACTTTTGACCTTAAAGTTGTGAATTTAGGATGCTCAACCTCTTCAGGGGGAAATTAAAAATCAGTCAAAGACTTAAAGGGTTCATCTAAAATCAAATTATTTGTTTAACTCTTCTTTCTCTTTACCCGCTTCACGGAGTTTGATTTATTTGGAGCTCTGCTCT